TGACTGTAGCTCTGTAATATAGTTTAAAATCTGGTATAGGGGCTGGGGATTTAGCACAATGGTAGAGTGGTTGCCTAGCAAGCACAAGGCCCTGGGTTTGGTCCTCAGCTCCGGGGAAAAAAATAAAAAGACAAAATAAAGTCTGGTAAGTAATCCCCCCCCCCACAGCATTGCTCTAATGTTCAGTGTTGCATTGGCTATTCAAGGTCTTTTGTGCTTCCATATGAATCTTAGGATGGTTTTTTCCAATTCTGTGAAGAATGTCATGGGAATTTTTATTGGTATTGTATTGAATCTATAAATGGCTTTTGGTAGGATGGTCATTTTCACAATATTCTTCCTATCCATGAGCATGGGAGGTCCTTCCATCTTCTGATGTCTTCCTCAATCCCTTTCTTTAAAGATTTAAATTTTTCATTGTAGAGGTTTTTAATGTCTTTGGTCAGGTTTATTCCAAGATATTTTAAGTTTTGGAGGGGCTGTTGTGAAAGGGAGTGTTTTCGTATACTCTTTCTCTAATTGCTTGTTATTGGTATATAGAAAGCCTACAGGCTTTTGTAGATTAATTTTGTAGCCTGCCACTTTATTGAAAGTATTAATCATTTCTAGTAGTCATCTAGAATTTTTGGTGTCTCTTAGATATATCATATCATCTGCAAAAGGGGATAATTTGATCTCTTCTTTTCCAATTATTACTCCTTTAATTTCCTGCTCTTGTCTTATTGCTCTCGGAAGAGTTTCAAGCCCTATGTTAAAAAGGAGTGGAGATAGTGGACAGCCTTGTCTGGTTTCTGATTTTAATGGGAATGCTTCCAGTTTTTCTCCATTTAGACTGCTGTTGGCTGTGGGTTTGTTGTATATGGCTTTAATTATGTTGAGGTCTTCCTGTCCAATTCCCTCTAGGACTTTGAATATAAATGTATGTTTAATTTTTTCAAAGACCTTCTCTGTATCTATTGAGATGATCATTGTGGTTCTTGTCTTTGAGTCCATTTTTATGATTTATGATGTTTATTGACTTACATATATTGAACCATCCCTGCATCTCTGGAATAAAGCTGACTTGATCATGATGGGTGATCTTTTTGATGTGTGTCTGTATACGGTTTGAGAGTATTTTGTTGAGAATTTTTGCATCTATGTTCATTATGGATATGCGTCTGTAGTTTTCTTGATTATATCTTTACCTGGCTTTGGTATTAGAGTGATGCTGGTTTCATAGAAGGAATTTGGAAGTTCTCCCTCCATTTTTATCTTTTTTAATAAATTAAGTAATATTGGATATAGATCTTCTTTAAATGTCTGGTAGAATTCTACTATTAATCCATCTTGTTCTGGGTTTGTTTGTTTGTTTTAGGGTGAAGGTTTTGTATTACTCTTTCAATTTCCTTATGTAATGTTATGGGTCTGTTTAAGCTGTCAATTTCTTCTTGGTTTTGTTTTGGTGATTCCCGTGCTTTTAGATACCCATCCGTCTCTGAGCTTTTCAAATTTAGTAGTGTATAAGTTTTTAAAGTATTCCCTTGTAATGTTCTGGATCTTTTTGGTGTCTCTTGTGATGTTTCCCCCTTCATCTCTGATTTTGTTGATTTGGAGTTCAGTTCCAAAATCCCTTTCCTTCTTTTGGTTAACTGGGCTAGCGGTCTATCAGTCTTGTTTATCTTTTCAAAGATCCAGCCCTTGGATTCATTGATTTTTTTGTTTTGTTTTCTTTTTTTCTAATTCACTAATTTCTCCTCTAGTTTTTGCAATTTCATTGATTTCTGCCCTGATTTTTGTTATTTCTTCTTGTCTGCAGGGTTTGGGTTTTGTTTGCTGTTGCTTTTCAAGTGTCTTGAGTTGCAATGTTAAGTCTTTTATTTGTATTCTTTCTGATTTTTTGAATGTAGGCACTTAGAGCTATAAACTTCTCTCTAAGGACTGCTTTCAGTGTGTTTCAGAGGTTTTTGTTGTTGTTGTTGTATTGTCCCTTTCATTTAGTTCCAGGATTACTTTTATTTCTTTCTTAATTTCTCCTTTGACCCATTCATCAGTCAGGAGTGTGTTGTTTAATCTGCATATGTTCCTGTAGTTACTAGGGTTTCCTCCAGTGTTGATTTTAAGCTTTATTGCATTGTGGTCTGATAAAATGCATGGAATTATTTCAGTCTTTTTGTATTTGTTGAGGCTTATTTCATGACCCAGTATGTGGTCAGTTTTGGAGAAAGTTCCATGGGGTGCTGAATGGAAAGTATATTCTTTGGTGCTTAGGTGGAATATTCAGTAGAGGTAGATGTCTGTTCAGTCCATTTGATGTATGGTATTGTTTAATTCAGATGTCTGTCTGTTAATTCTCTGTCCTATTGACCTATCTAATGGAGACAATGGAATATTGAAGACCCCTACTATTATTGAGTTGGGATTAATCTGGGTCTTAAAATCCTGTAGCACTGTTTTTATGAAGTTGGGTGCACCAGAGTTTGTTTAATATATGTTCATGTTTGTAATATCTTCATTGTCAATTGTTATTTTGATCAGAATGAAGTAACACTCTTTATCTCTTCTGATTAGCTTTAGTTTGAAGTCTATTTTGTCAGATATTAGAATTGCAATGCCTGCTTTTTTCTTAGTACCATTTGCTTGTAATATTTTTTTCCATCCTTTCACTTTAAGGTAATGTCTGTCCTTGAAAGTGAGATAGGTTCCTTGCAGACAACAAAAAGATGGGTTTTGGTTCTTAATCCATTCAACTAGTCTGTGTCTTTTGACTGGGGAGTTCAGTCCACTGATACTTAAAGTTATTAATGAAAGATGTGTATTGACTCCTGTTGTTTTGATTTCTGTTCGTGTTTTTGGTCTAACTGCGTTTCCACAGTCATACCTTCATTAAGTTTTTTTTTTTTTATTACCCCTTGGATATAGTCATTCCTTTCTTCAGCTCTGAAGGGCTGGTTTTATGGACATGAGTTCTTTCAGCCTATTCATGTCATGGAATATTTTTCTTTCCCCTTCAACTATAATAGGAATTTTGGCTGGGTAAAGTAATCTGGGTTGGCATCTGTGGTCATTTAGATCTGGGAATGCTTTGGTCTGGGCTCTTCTGGCTTTCATAGTTTTCACTGAAAAGTCAGCTGTAATTCTCGGGGGTTTTCCTTTATATGTGACTTGTTTTTCTTTTGTAGCTTTTGGTATTCTCTTTTTGTTCTGGATGTTTAGTGTTTTTAGCATGATGTGCTGTGGAGAGTTTATTTTCTGGTCCAGTCTATTTGGTGTTCTATGTGCTTCTTGTATTTGTGTGGGCATGTCTTTCTTTAACTTTGGGTAATTTTCTTCTACAATCCTGTTGAAGATCTGGTCCATACCATTGTCCTGAGATTCTTCTCCTTCCTGTATACCTTTGATTCATAAGTTTGGTCTTTTTATGGTGTCACACAATTCCTGCATATTCCATTCTTGTGTTTTCTTAAATTTTTCATAATCTTTGCTTGAGTGGTCTGATTCGTCCACTTTATCTTCCAGTCTTGATACTCTGTTTTCCATTTCATTCATCCTATTGGTGAGGCTTTCTCCTGTCATTTGTAATTGGCTTATTGAGTGTTTCACGTTCTTCTTCATTTCAGCCTGAGTATTCTTCAATATTTCTAACTATTTTCTGAATTCATTTAGAAGTTTATCCCTATTTTCTTTCAGTTCTTTTATTTCTTTCTTTGTGTGTTCTTTAAATTCATTAAATTCTTTTATCATATTTATAATTGTTCTTTGGATTTCCATGTCCTGTGTTATCTCTAGGGGGTTCTCATTGTATTCCTCTACAGGACTGTTGGTACTTGGTGGGGATATATTATTTTGGTTTTTCATGTTGTTATTTTTTCATTGTGACTTTGACATGTGGATTTCTTTTGTAGTTTCTGATTCTTATGTCAGACTCAAGCCTTCCTTTGTTGAGTTTAGGTCTGCTTTTGTTTGTAAGCTTTATGTACCTTTGTGGTTTTACTTTTTGGGCATGAAAAGCTGATTGGTCTAGGCTTCAAGTTCTCTCTTTTGATTTTATATTGGAGGGGCCAGATCACATTAGTCCTGCTGCTCAGGAGTCCTTACAAGCCCAAGTCATATGAGGATCAGATGCTCTCAGGCTTTCTCCTAAGGTCTGGATCCCACTAGTCAGCAGGCACAGTGCATTTGGGAGGATTGCTAGGTAGAGGTAGGATTCAGGACTCTCAGGTAGTCAGGGAAGGAGGCTGGTCTCAGGAATCTAGGGATGAAGTCTGGTCTCAGGTGTGCACAGGCGAGGTGGGGGAGGGGACAGGCTTTGAGGGCTCCAGGGGACTTGACTGAGGAATTGAGTTGGTCTGGATGCAGAGGATCAGGAAGCAGTGGGGAGTCTGAGCCAAGAGGGTAGTCCAGAGGTCTGGGGATGCCAAGAGAAGAAATGGGCCAGTGCCCACACTAGGAGGACAGATGTGGTGGGGGAGCTGAGAGGGTGAATGAGGTTGTGGAATACAAAATTTTAAAGTATGTGCTTATGATTTTCTGAATTTTCTTGGGTTTGTTATAATGTTTCCCTTTTCATCTCTGAGTTTGTCTATTTGGGTTCTATTTTCTTTAATTACTTTGGCTAAAGGTTTGCAGAGGATTCAAGTTCCTTTCCCAACACCCATGTTGGGCTGTTCACAACCTTCTGTAACTACAGCTCCAGAAGGAGCTGACACCTCTGGCCTCTGTGGGCACCTGCCCTCATGTGTGTGCACACAAACACACATACACACACACACACACAATTAAATCTTTAAATAAAATTGTTTCTAAGGAAGAAGGTTAACATACTTGTTCATTCAGGCCTATTAGAAACTTTAGTGTACAGTCTGTTAGTACTATTCTTCCCTTTTAACTTGACACATGTATTTATTTCTAATCTCTTTTTTAAGTAGAAAAATATACTTATTTTATCTTTTAACC